TGGCATCCATTATACATGGCACGCGGAACTAGAACAGACTGCCCCAACGAGCGAAATAAACAGTTCAATTCGACATTCAGACTACCTGAAGAAGGCTGTAGTGTACAACGGCCTAAACGTTATAATAAATATGGCAACAAAGATGTAGACAATAGTCTGAATAATGTAAGTAGAATACCTTTTTGTAATAATTATTACCAGCAGTTCAGTTTTGTAAAAATAAAAATTGTTAAAAGTAATACATTTTTTGGAAAAAAATACCAGCAATACATTTTTGAAAAAAATATTATCAACAATAGATTTTGGGGAAAAATATTGCCAGCAGTAAAAATCTTGACGGCATTAAATAACCCTTTCAGATTGATATACCTTAAAACAAAACAAACCAAATCGCTCAAAATGCTAGAAAAAGAGTCGGTTCTCTGTACTTCTCCAGTGAGTATCTGACTAATCCTACTATGTGTGTGTGTGATGCGGCATTCACCCTGGGCGGATTGAGCCGGCTTCTTCCTGTTATGATAAGAAGATTCTTGGGATAAATTACAGAAGTAGTGTACCCAGGCCTACTCGGATAACGTTCTTGCTTACCGCGGGGTTCCCACAGACGCAGAGACAGGAACGACCAGAAGCCGCCGGTTACCGATGCAGATGCTCCTTGGATTTTCACCAGAGCCCTTGTTAGCCGGCGTGTGTGTCAGACCTGTCCGCCTTGGGTGGACCTACCAGGAACGAAGTTCCGAGCGGCATAGCTCTGACATTACCGTTTACACCCCACCACCGACTGTGAGGTAAGGGTTGGACTTTGGGGGCTTACAGTACCAGGTGTTCCCAAGCGGTCCCCCATCTAAGTACTGACCTGGCTCTACGATGCTTAATTTCGGTGATCGAACGAGAACCGGTGTTTTCAGCGTGATTTGACCGTAAGCTACTATGCTCTACCTTTATAAAAATCCTATTGAAAATAGAATCTTGTTACTATATATTAGCAAGAACTGTCCACTCCTCAGTTTCCAGTCTCGATAGAGTTTAAAAGCGTATCTGCGTCCTTGTGGGTGACAAATTATTGTTCACCCTACAACACCTTTCTCTCATACGAAATGTCGCAAACTACTCACTCCTCCACGGTTATTCCCATAGAAAAAAATCATTGCAACAAAAAAAGAGAAAGTTAATATTTAAGCAGTCTACTGTTCCTTAACGATAATCAGAATGTTTTACGATGTGACGAATTCACATAGCATTTGCTGTTGTGCACCACATTTCCAATATTGGCCAACCGTAAAATTGACGATGCTCCAAAGATATTCGATCAGCTTCAGTTCCACCAAACAGACTGATCATTCCATTTGTCGGTCATTATTTGACATTGATATAACTAAGTAGCAGCTAAAATGGCCTCAAGAACTGAGGAATTTTAGAGAACAAAGACAGCATTCCTTTGAATACCGGTGATTTTTTTTTTGTTTTTTTTAAATGTGCGAAAATCTCTCTTTTGAGCATTGTCGTAAATAATTGCATCTGTCTGTGTCAATACCACTCTATTCTTCTTTTGAAATATCTGAAGGATTCTTCAGGAAATTTTCCAAGCGCACCAATTCTCATATATAAAACCACATGTTAAAATTTTGTAAAAATAATCATTGCAAATTACGGACATTTTTTCAGCGTTTTCCCTCATTCGACGCCATAGACAATAATTTTTATTTAGTCTTTTTTTTTTCATAATTTTTTGACCCATTACATGGCTCAAGAGCCACTCAATATAGAGGGTTACTGAAAGAGGTTATTTTAAATAATTGTTTAAGATTATTTTTAGTGGCGGTCTATTTGACTCATACATTCTGAGGCTGACCTTAAGGTCAGATGGTAGACAAAATAGGGATGTTGATTTTGATTGGGTGAGCCGAAGATGGGAATGTTAGAGAGATAGAAAGGATTTTAATGACTAAAATTTTATGTGCCGAAGAATGCAGACGTGTTAATATCGTGTGCGGAAAGTGCTCCCCAGTGGGGCTATAGCAACTTCATTGGCTAGTTAAAACATATACACGTCGACATGTTTAATAAAATAGATGAGTTTAAAATCCATTTTGTTGAATGTTCTCTTTTTACCTATGAACTAAAAAGTACAACTAGCGACTACCCGACAGAGAAAGAAAGAGAAGACAACTTTATTATGGTCGCCTCAAAAGTCCTCCCCAGAAGAAGGGGGCGTATTTATCAATTGTTGTAAGAAGAGGGGGAGAAGTGCAGATATGAAGATAATGTTTGACCCTAGACCTGAAGAGGTTAAGACTAGTTAACAAGGAAGCATTCTCCTAAGACTCTATTCCAAAGAGTAGCTACGCTCGGGAAGAAGCTATCTGTATGGAACTTCATTCTTAGAAAGAAGATGGTTCGCTCCTGTGTACGCGGCAGGTGGGGGGGTCCTAGCTGTGAAGGTCTGAACTGGTATAACTGAAGAATATCGCTTGTCAGAACGTTTTTCGTAGAAATAGCGATAGTGACGAGAGGTTTACGACATTTCGTTTCTGATGTTCAATTCTGAATCTGTTGTTTTTTTCTAATGATTATAAAATTCCTGGTGAATGTGAACATCTTTTGGGGACGGGGAGATAGATACTGATTATTGTTGTATTTTCATTAGCATTCTTTACTGGGTATAACGCCGTCCTGGGTATGACGATAAATTACACCCGATAACAAGACCTTTGATCAGGAGGTTTTGAGGAGCATGGTACCACCTATTAATTGCCAGTGTTTCACCCTGACCCGAGGTGATAGCACCTGTCGGGGTCCCAGCTATTGAAAACTAGTTAACCCCCGCACAAAAGGGGTCAAAACACTACAAAAGTATAAAAATAGGTTTCTGAAAATCTTCAAAGATACATTGCAGTCTGAAAGAACTGCCATATCAATAAGATATTCTGATTTTGTAGTATTTGATCACTGTGTCTGTTGGATTAACTTTGATTGATTCATCTTTGTACAGCGTGGTACGAAAGTCTTGTCACCTCAATAGAACAAGTAATACAGGACACATGTAGTGGATTCAGTTTATTCACTTCCAATAACCTTGTGACACATCGGGAATGTCCGTATGAACATAATTATTTTCGTGGAAAATAGAGGGTGAAATTATATGTGGGTGACAAGACTTTCGGACCACATTGTACACTTAAATTTTTTCTTGGAGTTTTCTTCCCGTAAAAGTTGCAAATTGTCCAGCGCAAAGATTGGCTCATTCTGTCTTTCCGATCTCTATATTCTATGTTCTCCACTGACTTAACCATGTATTGTGTCCTCAAGGACACATGGCACAGTGGATAAAGGTGTTACTAGGATCCAGTGACAAGACCCAAAGAGTGTGAGTTCAATACCCGGTTAAGGCAGTGGAGAACTTTCCGAGGGAAATTAACAGAAGATAACTGATAACTGACATCCATCATACACGGCGCGTGGAACTAGAACAGTCTACCCCGGTGAGCGAAATAAAGGGTTCATTTCGACATTCCAACCACCTGAAGAAGGCTGGAGTGTACAACGGCCGAAACGTTGTAATAAATATGGCGACAAAGATGAGGACAATAGTCTGAATAATGTAAATAGTTTACATAATACTTCATCTCAGAAAAATATAGACAGAAACAAAATTTAATACAATATTTACCGAAATAAAGCACAGAATATCGGATTGATTTTCGAATTTGTTTATTACATTTATTTTTCAAAACAGTCACCGTAATGTGTAAACACTTAGACATAAATTAGAAATCTTACAAATTTAAGTTATATGTTTTTACTTGAAGATTTTATAACTCAGCCCGGAGTAGAAATTGTCCAGACTGTGTCGGAATAAAAATCATTATTTTAATGTCTTATAAAAAAAAAAAAATTCTTTGAATTGTGTGTATGTGTGTGTAATATACAAATGTATGTAAGTCACACACACAACACATATGAAGAAACATATTATGAAATGGACTAAATTCGACAATTATTTTAATATATTTATTGTTTATACGTCATTTTTATAGATACAAATATTTTTAAAAAATGCTCTGTTTATAATAATCAGTATCAACTACATTTACCGGCCCGAATGTCTGATAAATCTCATAGAAAATAGACCATTGTACAAATTATTTGAAACAACCGATTTAGTTTCCTTTATTTCACCATAAATCCACGGCAGTGACAGGGTGTAATAGATTTCAATGTTTATCTCAGATTAGGTCATTTGCAGTGGTGTGCAGTAATATGAATGCATTATCTTGTATATGATGATAATTTTTGGCTTTGAAAAATATTACATCAACCAGGATTGCATTAGATTTTTATCACGCCCAGATACTATTGTCTCGACTGTCGCTTGGTTGTCCTATGGCCATTGTCTGCGATGGACGTTACTCCAAAGCAGCGTACGAAAATTGTAACGCTTCACGAACACACTGGCAAGCCATACAAGTGAGCAAATCAAAGTACTATAGACTGGCCCGGAAACTGTCCTGATTTAAATTCAATCGAGAATCTGTGGTCAATCTGCAAAGGAAAAACTTCGTGGAATGGACATACAAAGTCCTAACATGTGCATGTGAAAAAAGTAAAAAATAACGGAATTATTATTTTTGTTTCATTTAATTTATACAAGGGTGTGTGTGTCCTCCGTCAGGAATCGAACCTGTATCCTACACAGAACAGTTATATAGCCTGGCGTGTCATACCATTTAGCTACAGAGGAAAAGTCTGGTTATCAAAGTCGAATTACTGCTTTTAAACTACAAATTTCCCATGATTTCTCTGGAAAGCTCATATCTGCTCGAAGCCTATCTTAACATAAATACATGTCGTCAAATTTTATGAAATGAACACGTTCGACAATTATTTTAATATATTTTCTGTATATAGGTTATTTTTTTTATAGATATTAAAGTAAATACTTATAATAAATAGGTATGTACATTACATACTCGCAACGATATTAAGAGGATATCTTCAGCATGAGAAGGAATCGTATGGAACACTGTATAACACTTACAGTTACACCATTTATTTTTTAAAGACGGAGTCCTTTTAACCTTCAAAAGTTAATTCATGCTATTCTTTCCATTTTTCCTTGAAGTAGTAATATCTTCTTTCGTAATAGTTCGAATATAGTGAAGTTATTGGCGTTTACCAAGATTTTTGAATTAATATTTACCTCATTTTTAAGATTATTTTTCTCTTTTTCCATTGTTTTTTGTTCTATATCTTTTTATTTTTTACTTTTTTTTCAGGATAGTCCTTGTTTACAGGTCATTGGTTTCTCAGGCCGGCATTTCCCAGATCATTTTTTGAAGACACCCTTAAATATTCTTTGGTCTGAATATCAGTTAGTCTCTTTACAGTTACGCTCGGTTGCTTGCAAAAGGCGAACTGAAATCCTTGGCGCCGGACTGGAATTAGATTAGAGACGCTGATCCGTTTGAAGGTTGCAAAAGCGTGAAGTTGTTTTATTATTATTATTAATCTGGGCGAGATTTTCGGATGAATTGTGAGACACCACTTCCGACATAAAATAAATGAACATATATATATATATATATATATATATATATATATATATATATAAAAATATCTATCTATCTATCTCTCCCTCTCTCTCTCTATCTCTCTCTCTCTCTCTCTCTATATATATATATATATATATATATATATATATATTATGAAATGAACAAAGTCCGACAATTATTTCAGACATTTTTTTTTAATGTTTATACGTTCTTTTTATAGATACAAATATTTAAGTAAATTATCTGTTTATAATAAACAGTATTAACGACATTTACCTGCCTTAATGTCCGAGAAATTTTCATAGAAAATATGCGTCCTCCGACAGGAATTGAACCTGTATCCTATACGGAACCTTCATATAGCCTGACGTACTTTAATCGATAAATATAAAAAGTCGAAACTAATTGTCGGAATTTGTCCATTTCATAATGTATGACGTCATTTTTTTAACATTTGGATACGCATTGAGCAGATATGAATGAATGAGAGAAAATCACGGAAAATTGTGTTTAAAAGCAATAAAATCGACCTTGCTAACCGAACGCTTCTCTGTGGCCCAATGGGTTAAAGCACGTCAGGCTATATGACAGTTCCGTAAAGGATACTGGTTCGATTCCAGTCGGAGGACGCATATTTTCTATAAAAAATTCTCGGACGTTCAGGCTTGTAAATGTCAAATCTGTTTATTATAAACAGAGCATTTTCTTAAATATTTGTATCTATAAAAAGAACGTATAAACATAAAAATTTCACACACACACACACACACACACACACACACCTATATATATATACATGTATGTATTGTTTGGAATATGCTATATTTATAGGAGAATAGTGGCCAGTCATATAAACTACCTAACAAGCTTGTGTAAATGGTTGGCAGAACAGGGATGCAGAGAGATAACAAAAAGACGTTAAAAAAGTTGTGAACAGCCACGATCGCCACATGTTCTGAAGGGTCACAACACATAGAAGAAGATAGAAGTGGTGTTGACATGATGAGATAAACATGGTCAACATCAGGTCATTGCTAATCCTCTGTGCGCGGGCTCAATAAACATGTCACGGAAAATTTATATTTCCACACTATATATCCCCCCTCTCTCATCCCCCTCTCTCTACCTGTCTCTCCTGCTCCTCCTCCTCCCTCTTGCAGGAGTGGGGTTTCCAATTTCCAAAGTGGGGATTTCAATTTGAAAGATGAGCAAAATGAGGGTCATCCAAAAAAAGACTTGATTCCGAAGAGTTGGAAGCTGTCGTCACAGACAGCCCCACAATTACCCCAATTAAACTTGCAGAAGAATTTAACGAATCCAATCGTGATGCGCCAATTAAAAAGGATCGGAAAGGTTTCTGTGGTTGGGAAATTGGTCCCACATGGAATATCTCCAGAGAATCTGCAACAGTGTGTTGTTTGTTGTGAATCATTGCTTTCGCGACACCTTCAGGCACCATTTTTAGGTAGGCTTATTACAGGTGATGAAAAGTGGATACTTTAGCATAACGTTAAACGCCGCCGATAGTTGATCAGTCGAAGAGGAAGATTAGTTCAACAACCAAGAGGAGGACTTCATCCAAAGAAGATCATATTGAATGCATGGTGGGATATTGAAGTAATTGTCCATTACGAACAGCAATCAAACAATTATAGTTAACCTGTACTGTGATCAACTTCGTCGTTTGAAAACAGCTTTGAACCAAAAGTTACCTTCCTTAATGAACAGAAAGCGTGTCATAATCCATTACGATAAGGCTCGTCCTCACACAGATCGTCTGACTAAAAATCTTTTGGAAAAGCTTGGTTAGGAAATATTGCTTCATCCACAATTATCTCCACACCTTGCTCCTTCTGATTATCGCTTGTTTCGGGGACTACATAATCACTTGAATGGTCCTAGGTTGAAATCAAGAGAAGAGGTTGAAAATGAGCAGGATTCATACTTTGCTTCAAAACCTTAGGAAATTTACAAGCGTGGCATTTATAAACTTCTTGACAGACGAAATAATGTTCTAGAAAGCAAAAGAGGTTTTGCTAACGAATAAATATTTTTCATTTCACATTTCGGCCGTTTTACGCTCCGGCCTTCTTCAGGTGATATGCATTGGAATTTCGAACCGAACCCTTTATTTCGTCCACTAAGGTAGATTGTTCCAGTTACACGTGCCACAAGATTTCTGGATAGCTTAGTTTCAGTTATTTCCCATTAGAAACTCAAATCTCCAAGTTTTTGTTCACCTCTGCTGTGGCCAGGTATTGAACTCGCAACTTTTTTGAGTTAAGTCACAGGATTACTTCAACAAATGGTTTTATACACTGGATCTTGTGCCCAAAGAGTCGTAGCTTATAACGGCCGAAACGTGGTGAATGTGGCAATAGAGATGAGGGCAACAGTCCGAACGATATAAATAGTGTAAATAGTTAAAAATGAGTCATCTCAGAGATATAGACAGATCCTGAAGAAGACCGGAGCATACAACGGCCGAAACGTCGTGAATGTGGCAACAAAGGTGAGGACAACAGTGCGAATAGTGTAGATAGTATAAATAGTGTAAAAGATTCATCTGAGAAATATAGACAGATCCAGAGGAAAGCCCGAGCGTACAACAGCCGAAACATCGTGAACGTGGCCATACAGTTGACGAAAACAGTCTGAACAATGTAAAGAGTGTAAACAGTTACAATAGGCCATCTCAGAAATATTGACAGATCCTGAAGAATACCGGCGCGTACGATGGCCGAAACGTCGTGAATGTAGCAATAAAGATGAGGGCAATAGTCCAAACGATATAAATAGTGTAAATAGAAACATATTTATGAAAAATTTCTCAGTTAACCTGTAGAAAAAGTCACACAAAGAAATAAATTCAACCACAATTTTGATTTTAAAAATGCTACTCTCATAAAAAAAGAAAATAACTCACCCAGAAGGAAAATCTTCGAGAGTGCTGCCATTGAATATTACCCAAATATTAATCTACGCCCAGGCCTTCTCTCTATTTCACCTTTCTTAACAGAATTACTTCTCTCCCAAACAAACGTACAGAACAGTATCAAGAAATCAAAAGAAAATGGTTGAATCCGTCAACACAGAAATAAAAACAATATCTCCACACGTGACAGTAATTGACGTAATTTCAGTTAACAGTATGAAAATAGCGTTCTCTAAGTTCTTCCATTTGCTAAGGACATTTTGTTTTTGTTATTATTAGTTACTTTGTTTAATAAATTCATTTCGTTTCGCCTTGAAAAAGTCCACGTCGGCAACTATTACAGTTTTCCTATCGACCTTTACATTTATAAACATATTTATATAAATTTCTAAAGTATATATTTCAAAGAAAGTGTTTAATGACCAATCAAAATAGAACTAAAGTGATACTGCCGGTGAATGTAGATTTGTTAATGGTTGGTTCTAAAGATATGTCGGTCTTTTCTAAAAGTGCAAAGAATCGAGAGCGAATAAGGGAATCAGAAGGCATCGTTCCTTCCCACGAGTCCGAGTGATCGATATTCCGAGAGACGAATAACTAAGATCTCGTAAGCTGATTTTTCAAATCATTCAGCGTTAGATATGAGCCCATCTCTTCTTTATCTGTACATCTCCAGAGAACCTCCTGCTTAAGTTTTACGAAAATATCCAAAGAAAACAAAAGCAAACATAAAGACAAATGAATAACGAGTGAGTTCAACAGAGAAAACAATGAATATGTTTTATTGTTTCTGTAAATTTATTATGGGACAAATACTTCAGCATATTTCAGATACGGGCTTTGCATATTTACGCTTCAGATCAATATAACAATCGAACCTTTCTACTGACTATAGAATATTGATATTCAAGGCACGGATTTTTTTTTTCTGATTCCTCTTCCTTTAGGAAAGCGATTCCCAAACCTTTTTTTTCTCTGCGCCGTATTTTCGTAATGAAAATTTGCTCGCACCTCACCAAATTTTATGTGATAAAAAGTATATTTAAATATAAAAAACAACAACGACGTGCTTTAAACATAATATATAACACAAATAAGTTATGATAAAAGTACACAAAATTAATGAACGGTATTAGCTTATTTTTGACGGGTAATCTCCTTTATATTGGGCTTAATTTGAGATAAACAAACTCTCATCTCATCAACACAAAAAAGCCGTTCCCTCTTTTGATTTTTGATATTTGTCAGAACTGAAAATTCTTGCTCACGGCAATATGCCGTGGAGAACTGTAAAAGAATAAATAGTGCTTTTGAAGCGAAACATGCATATTGTTTCTCGTTGTTTACCCAAAAGAGTCCAGTCATACATTATTGTGCTTCATTTTGAAGGCACTATCACTCAAAATGTCTGCCAATACATCTAATGTCAGACCTAAACAGCATGAATTTACAAAAGGGTCGCTAACCCAGTCGGATTTTTTGTAGATGACGACCGAAAGTAATCAGAGAGAGGGTTAGAGGGAGATAACCACGGATTCAAAGTCAGAACATTATCATTGATAACTCTCCCCTCCAATTTGCAGACCCTAGTTACTATATTGTAATACTTGATATAATGCAAATATATCACAATGACAAAATCAGTCAATAATTATTTATAACTATTTATACTGGTATTCATGATTGCAATTACAGGTAATTAATAATAATATTTTAAATTTTGAAATCATATTTATATTTGGCATGTGAATTATTTGAAACTGTTTCAAAATCTTTGATTGTCTTTCAATCATTCCGCCTCACCTTCTATCCTCACCAGCTATCCTCTTCCGCCTCACCTGTTATCCTCTTCGGCCTCACCTGCCATCCTCTTCAGTCTCATCTCCTATCCTCATCCGCCTTAACTGCTATCCTCGTCGGCCTCAACTGCTATCCTCTGCCGTCTCACCTGCTATCCTCTTCCGTCTCACCTGCTATCCTCATCCGCCTCAACTGCTATCCTCTTCCGTCTCACCTGCTATCCTCGTCCGCCTCAACTATCCTCTTCCGTCTCACCTGTTATTCTCATCCGCCTCAACTGCTATCCTCATCCGCCTCAACTGCTATCCTCTTCCGTCTCACCTGCTATCCTCGTCCGCCCCAACTGCTATCCCTCTGCCGTCCCACCTGCTATCCTCTTCCGTCTCACCTCCCCCATCCGCCTCAACTGCTATCCTCTTCCGTCTCACCTGCCATCCCCTCGTCCGCCTCAACTGCTATCCTCTTCCGTCTCACCTGCTATCCCATCCGCCTCAACTGCTATCCCCCATCCGCCTCAACTGCTATCCTCCCGTCTCAACTGCTATCCTCGTCCGCCCTCAACTGCTATCCTCTGCCGTCTCACCTGCTATCCTCTTCCGTCTCACCTGCTATCCTCATCCGCCTCAACTGCTATCCTCTTCCGTCCCACCCTGCTATCCTCGTCCGCCTCAACTGCTATCCTCTTCCGTCTCACCTGCTATCCCTCATCCGCCTCAACTGCTATCCTCATCCGCCTCAACTGCTATCCTCTTCCGTCTCACCTGCTATCCTCGTCCGCCTCAACTGCTATCCTCTGCCGTCTCACCTGCTATCCTCTTCCGTCTCACCTGCTATCCTCATCCGCCTCAACTGCTATCCTCTTCCGTCTCACCTGCTATCCTCGTCCGCCTCAACTGCTATCCTCTTCCGTCTCACCTGCTATCCTCATCCGCCTCAACTGCTATCCTCATCCGCCTCAACTGCTATCCTCTGCCGTCTCACCTGCTAACCTCGTCCGCCTCAACTGGTATCCTCTGCCGTCTCACCTGCTATCCTCATCCGCCTCAACTGCTATCCTCTGCCGTCTCACCTGCTATCCTCATCCGCCTCAACTGCTATCCTCTTCCATCTTACCTGCTATCCTCACCCGCCTCACCCAAGAGGATAGTGATAATTGTTTGGTGCTAGACTTGAAGGGGTAAGACTGTAGTTATCTTGAAAACATCCGTTCCACAAAATGATGAACAATTTCCTAGTGAATGTTTTCTTGTAGTTCCAAGTATTATAACACTTATTAATTTCTGATATGTTCTGTCCAACATTCTTCGATAGAACCAGATTTACACCCAGACTAATGGTATTACTATGGGAAATCCCCTCGGTCCGTATTTCGCCAAATACTACATGTAGAAAACGTTTTATTTAAGCAAGGTAATAAACCCTAAATACATACCCGCTATGCAGACTATATTTCATTTTTGCGAAAAAAAAAGAAACAAGAAAATGGTAATCTAAACACCGCATTCGAAAACAAAAACTGTCCTTAACTTTACCTATGAACTTCGTCAAAAAATAAAGTCCCGTTCTTAGACGTTCTCGTAGAATTCAGTAATTAGACATCCACTACTTTATTATAGAAAAAAAAACCCTGGCAGAAACTCTTAAATCTAAATTTTAAGAGTGAATGACAGCTTAGATATAAATAGTAGTTATAAAAATGTCCTAAAGAGAGCACACGCGTATACCCCCCCTCGTACACTTTTCCATAAAGAACTCAATAATGTAAAAGAGAAACTAGTTAACAATGGTTTTACTAACTCATCGATCACCAATTTTAATTTTTTCGTTCTAAAGTAACTAATACAGAAACTGAACATACAATTAAAACAATAACATTAACATATTTTACAAAAGCCAAATACATGTAAACTATTAGAAAGACGAATTTTTTCTTAGAAATATCATAAAGAAATACACAACTCCAGTCGACCAGAACAATGAGAGAAACTATCTGTTAAAAAAAATTTAAAACAGTTAAACTTATCATCAAAAATAACAACAAACACTCAAAATAATTAAAAAAAAAAAACAATATTATTAACGAGTTCAAACGAGGCACTGTGTTCCTAATCAAACCAAACTCGTAAATAATTACATTGGTCATACTACTACATGCCTATCTAGACGATTCACGTTACAGCGACATGATCATATCTCAATTCGGACTCATTTAACCACACACGAAAATCTACCAAAATTCATCCGAAAAATACTAGTAGTAAAATACAGGTATAGCTTCATCCACATGTAAAAAAAAAAAGATTTAAAATAATTGAAACCTAATAAAAAAACTTCAGACACATATAGAAAAGAACCAACACATTCAGTTAAAAATAAAAATCGCATTTGGTAATGGCCAAATAAATAAAGGAAATAGATTGGATATGCAGAACTTTTGCATAGTTTTTAAATATTTTCTGTCCAGAAAAGAAAATACTTCTACAAGAAGACTTAAAGAAAATGCTTAATCGCAGTGCCTTGTCTGTTGTCTGTAACGAAACCTGTATAAAAGAAGGATTGCTGTCCAAATACACAATATATATATATATATATATATATATATGTGTGTGTGTGTGTGTGTGTGTGTGTGTGTGTGTGTGTGTGTGTGTATATGTGTGTGCGTGTGTATATGCGTGTATTCAATATCATATACCAATACAAATATAATTTCTTTCATAATATATGTTTGCATATTTAATATTTCTATCTATCTATCTATCTATCTATCTATCTATCTAATATATATATATATATATATATATATGTGTGTGTGTGTGTGTGTGTGTGTGTGTGTATATGTGTGTGCGTGTGTATATGCATGTATTCAATATCAGAAACCAATACAAATATAATTTCTTTCATAATATATGTTTGCATATTTAATATTTCTATCTATCTATCTATCTAATATATATATATAAATATATATGTATGTGTGTGTTTCGCTGTTCTTAACATGATACATATGTATATTTGCCTATATGTATATTTTATTTAGATAACTATGTAATATTTTGCGTCGCTTTTCTTTACACACACAGACATACATACATACACACACACACACACACACACACACACACACACACACACACATATATATATATATATATATATATATATATATATATATTTGTATGGATGCCTGTGCATTTGTGTGAGTGTATCTTCAACCAGTTTATGTTTTGAGTCTTAAGATGATATCTATAAATATATTTATATATATACAGAATGTGAACATATATATGCATATATGTTTCTATATATTTTATTATATGTTTGTATATATTTCATATCGACATATGTAAGTGTTTGATTAGCTTTCCTATATACCTATATATATATATATATATATATATAATTTGTGCTTGTATGTGTGCGTGTATGTAAGTCTCATGGTGTGTTTATTTGAGCAAATATAACTGTAAATCTGTACGGCTCTCTATATGTGTGTCGACCTGTTAACTACAATCCCAATAAATCTAGCGAAAGCAAATAGACGAAGATTCTATTGAGCTGATTATCAATTAGATTCCAAATCTAATTTCATCAATTCTGATTTATCGAAGATTTAAAAAGCCTCGTATTTGAGGAGCGAGGTGGATAGGCAAAGCGTACATTACAACATTGCAAGAAATAAGGCTACGGAAAATTCTATAACTTAAATAATCACCCGGCTTCTTCCCGGGAACATTCCACCTGCCTAACTGTTCAAAATATCCCATGATCCTCTGTATTACGTCACCTTGCTTTCTAGATCTGTTTTACTTATTCAGATTTACTAAGTTGTGTAGTGTGCGGGATCGAAGTATGCAGTTCTCCGACGGGGATCGACCTCACATCAGATTTAGGGTCCTGTTTCTCCACGGTGAATTCCTCCAAATTATTCTCAAAATTTAGTTTCATCTACTACAATATAACAATTCTTGCAGAACCTCCATGTGGTTGGCATTGAAATGTTGCTTCTTGGGTAACTGGTATGGCTGTGGTAATCGAAAAGTGATTCCATCACCGAGATATCACACTTGAATGAATCTTTCTAGATTATTCCATGAACTTCAACAGCGTAACAGCATTCTTAATAATAGACTGTGGAAATGAGGAATTGGTGTGAAGTGGCTAGCTGGCAAAAGGCTTCACTTTTATGAAGCTTGCACATTTCCTGTCTGCCATTTTGTTTTTTAATCATTTCAAAGCGATTATGGAAACGAAAGACAATGAGAAATCTTTAGAAAGACCCATAAACCCAATCCTGAACAAGAAACAATGAATAAACCTATACTCCTGTTCAATAGATAAGGAAAGATTTTTACTAAGAAAAGTAATAAATCAAAGCTCCCAGCTCACATTCGTCCACGATCAAACGACTTTGGACAAGAACTATCGTAAATGTGTGGCACGGAACATAGAAAAATAAGAATATATTCTACTTCTTCTAGGATCGTTTCAATCCGGTGAGAAAATGTATCTTTTTAATAC